TGGATCCAAGGAAAAAAAATTCATACTAAGGTGCCAGCAGTTTTAACCATCATTGCTTTTGCATCATGAATTAAAGCATCAATGCACTGAAAAAAGCAAATAAATAAAATCCTAAATTATTATGAAAATAATTTGACTCATGGACCCCCCTGAAAAATTCTCAGGTACCCCCCCTCCAAGGATTCTCAGATCACACTTTGAGAATAGCTATTTTGCAATAATTAAAAAGAATGGACTCTGGTGTATGCAACAACAGATGCATCATATAGACATAATGTTGAACAAAAGAAGCCTGGCACAAAGGAAAGCATACTGAATAATTCAATTTATACAACTTTCAGAACAGGTTAAAGTATTCTATGGCATAAGAAGTCAGAACACTGGTTATCTCTGGGATGGGGAAGGAGATTAAGAAAGGTCATAGTGGGAAGTAGGATCACCTATATCTCGATTTAAGTGGTGGTTTGTGCATTTTACTGTATGGATGTTATACCTCAATAAAAATATAAAAAGAATTTTATAAATAAGTTCTTAATCTTTTAACAGTTTTATATATTTTCCCCCTTGAATTTATATTTCAATTCCACTTACCTGCAGAATATTATTCTAATGAAACATACTTCTATATTTAAGTTTTTATTAAACATATTCTACTACCTTTACACAAAAAAACCATAGGCATATTCTCAAGCCAGTCAATTTTAGGGAAGAAGCCATAATGAAGCTGAGAATCTGAGAATTCTAGTTTGAGGATGATGGACATTTATTTGGCATTTCATACCTTAATTCATTCTATATATGGCTTATTTCACGAGAAATTTTCTTAAAGGTAGGGATGCATCTTGGATCTTCCATAGCCAAGGACCTGTCACTTTGTAGGTGGCTCACTGATTCATTTTCTCATTCATTCACGCAACGAAAATTTCTTCAGCATTTTATTTATGTTTAAGGCTTGCTAGGCTCTCTGCCTATAATGATGGCTAAGTGCAGGGCTCAATAAATTCCCATTGATAACTGACTGATAATTATCAGCTACATTTCAGAAAGAGTATAATTCTCTTTTCTCTCAAATTCCAAGTACAGGTGCACTACCTGTCTTATTAACCCTGTTGTAAAAATGGGAACACCAAGACACTGAGATTAATTAACTGACTCACTTAGGGTCATGCACTTCATCATGAATTAAGTAAAGATTAAAACCCTTACACATTCTTTTCTGGACTGAGGTGCTAAGGGAATTCATTCAAATTGACTAGAGTTCATATTTCATTTAAATGCTCTCATTTCACTTCTGCTACACCCACCTTCTCTGACTTGTATTTTAGGACCTGCAGTCTGAATTGGTTTACTTCTACTTCAGACTCTGTCAAGATATATTAGACACTGAGGGTCCATGACACCATGTGAAGTATAAGTGCTATTAGTTGAAAATACACAAGCAGTTTTATATTTCAATATAGTATAGCAATCCTTTGGAGAACCTGCTTTCTACTAAAAATGAAAGTGGGAATAATCAACCTAGGTGAATTTCAAAAATGTTAAAAAATTAAAATTTGATTTTACTATATATCCTCAGGTGGGTATAGCCAAAGGAAGGCAGATTAATAGTAAATATTTTTATCTGCGGCCAATGCATCTACAAACCATTCTGTTGAATAAGATCTGGCAGGCTCCTGACTGTGAGCAGAGATAGGGTAACAACTCTAATGATACATAAACTTGTATCAGATACAGGCTCCATTTTTTGCTGTAATCATCCATCCATAGCCTGGCCCGCTCAGCTGACAAGACATGTTATTAATAAAATGTACTGTACCACAAGTGCATTGCCCTACATGGTGTTTATCTTGTTGGAAAGTGTAATTGTCTGAAACAATAGCCTCTGTGAAAAAATATGTTATGAGCTGTGTAAAGATCAAAATAATTTCCACTAATAGTGGTAGTTGTTTGTGAAGAATTAAAACATTATGTTGCAGAGAGTTAACAACTGGGCCTTGCTTTTACGGTTCCTGTGAGAAGGCCTTGAATTTCATGCCATACCTTGTGGTGAAACAAAGATCCTCCACCAGAATGTAAACTCATCGAAGGCAGAGAATTCCAATTTATTTGTCAATGTCTTCCTAGCACATAGTGCAGTCCTTGGAAGAGTCAGCATTTAACATTTGTTAAGAAAAAAAAATGAATGAATATGAGTATAGGGAAGAAATGGAACAAGTTTCAGATTCAAGCCAAGCCAGTATCAGTGTTCCACCAGGTTGTAAATCAGAAAAATAGAGTGGGATCCAAACTCCAGGAGACTGGTATTCGTGGAGAGGGAGAGGGTAAAATGGAAGCAGTCTGAAATCAAGTTGCTGAGGATACGTGGCACTCCCATATTGCTGAGGCAGACAGAGAAGCCCTAGGTATAGAAAAGGATGAAGGTTGTCCTTGGTCCCTACCTCTCACCCCTGCCCCAGCCCCACTGGATAGGATCTGAACAAATTCTTGCATCTTTCAATCTGGATCCTCCTGGCACAACAAAAGGAGCTTCGGATCTCTAATTCTCACTAGTAGAATGCTGGATGGAACAGCCTGCAGGTAACTGCATGTGGCTTAGGGACCACTGTGAGGGGCTAGGACAAGAGCAAGGTTTTAGGGAGGTAAACAGATGGAGCACCAGATCCTGAAATGGAGCTGGGTTACTTCTCCATTGAGATAGTAAAAAAAGAATATGAAGGAAGACAGAAAAATTTAGACGTTATGGAGGAGAGTAGATACAGAAACAGTTTGAAGTAGAGAAAAGGAAAGTTGAGGGAACCTGCTGAGACCTAAACCACAGCCACTTTTCCTTATTTTTTTTCCACGGCAAAATTTGATGTTGCTCTAATTATATCCTCCCACGTGCTCACAGAAAGTGACTTCTCTCTCTCCCCAGCATGAGGGGTAAATTATGTTTGGCATCATACTTTCTACAAGCAGTTAGTTTAGGATGTGTATGTGACACAGTTCTGCCCAATGGGACTCAGTTCTGCCAGAGGCCTCTAGAAACTAGGATTATCCTTCCTTTACTGTGAGAAAGAGAGAGACAGAGAAAGACAGGAAGAGGTGGGAGACAATATCCTTCTTCTTTGGACAATGCCCTTACTGCATCCGACACCAAAAATGCAGAAGCTAGGGTGCAGCCTTGAAGGGAGCTGGCAGGAGAGAGTGTCATCTGAGGATGGCACAGCAGAAAGAAGAACTCCCCTCGGGTCCTCGACAACATCCTTGAGTTACTCAATTAACCAATATAGGAACGACTTTCCTTCAAACTTCTTATTTTATGAGATAATAAATTCCTTCTCTTTCAAAAGCCACCACAAGTCAAGTTTTCTGTTGCTTGCACTTTTGTCGATAGCTTGATCTTTTCTTGTAAAGGTGAGAGCATGTGTTCGAATGTGAAAAGTGGGATTTGAAAGTTTGAAACATATTTTAGCTTTCCCCTATAGCCGCCCTCCATCTTCTTTCCCCTCCCCCATCCCTTCCCCACATCTACTGGACTCAGATGAGGGCCAGGAGACACCAGACTGGACGCAGAAGGACCTCTCCATTTTTTCAAGATTTAGTCTTTTCCAGCTACTGCTCACTGTGTTCGGCTCCTTCTTCACTAAGGACATGTTCTGTCCCAGGAAGCTCCTCAGTCACTCCAGGAAACAGGTTTTTGGGGCCTTGCCCCATCAGTTCAACAGACATACCAGATATGTCTGAACCCCCAAGCCACAGCTTAGACTCAAATGGGGAGCCCCAACTGCAGCATCATTCTGTACCTATAGCTAGCAATGGTTTGTGGCCCTTGAACACAAGTGGAGAATGAAAATGGCCAAGACTTAGGGATGGGAACTGGCACAGACATGGGAGAAGGTCCGAGAATGCAGGAATTAGCATGGCTTTACTAGATTATAAATCTTATGAAGACCACTGAGCACCCAGCACAGAACTCTGCAGCCACCGAGTTAGTCTCCACACATGTGTATTAAATTTAATTGAAATGACCACTTTGTAGGGTGAAGGTCAAATGGCTTCCTTTTACAGAATCTTCTGTCCAGAGAATGCCTTTCAACCACCACCACCACCTTCCCCGCAAAACAAAACCTTCAGTGTTTTCACCTGTTATCTAAGTTTATTTTTTATAACATAACTTTGAGACAGGCAGCAGTAAGAATAGTTTCAACTTACCAGGAGGAAACGAAGACACAAAGAGATGATCTGACTTGGCCACGGTCCCAGAGGGCATCCGTGGCAGAGCTAGGATGGTCTCTAAGTCCCTGGGGTCTCTCAAGCCATTGTTCTGATGTCCCTGTACGTAATTGTTTTGATAGCAATTTCCCTGGTTCTCTCTCACTAGCCTGCTAATCACGCATGTCAATCACATTCAGGACGGCCATGGGCCTAAGGGTCAGCCAGTGTCTCAGGAGGACGGAATTCAAAAGGAAAAACAAGACACAATAGCGCACTTTCTCCTTCAAGCACGTATGTCAGTTGTGGCCTCGTAAGTCTGACAGTGTGTGTAGGAGCGAGGGTTGCTTTTTTTTTTTTCCTTCCCGATGGAGAAAGGATTGTCCAGTGCTCTGACCACAGCAGAAAACCCAGTGAGAAATCCACCAGTTTAAGATCCTCTTACTAGAGAACACTCAAGGATACTGCAAGAGTTCTCCACCCTCTCTCTAACGAATCAGGAGGGATGTCCTCTTTCTTCCTCCTCAGCGAGTCTCAGTCGCTTCACTCCATCTGTTAGGCAAGCCTGGACGGTGGAGCAGGAGTGTAAACCTTGACGCGGATACTAATTGCCCTTCCCCTACAGACCACTTGGCCTTCTTTCCTCATTTCACTTTCACTTTAGAGAGCCGCGTCTGTGGCCCAGGAGACAGGGTCCAGGCTTGGCCCTGGAGAAGGCCCCGAGGAGAGGCGCGCGTGCGGCCGACAGGGCGGGGTGGGACGGGGAGCGTGCGCGGGGTCTGTTCGCGTGAGGCGTGGATCCTGGAATGTGCGTGTGCGCGGCCCTCGAGCACCGCCCGCGCGGCGCCGATTGGGCCGGGGGCGCGCGGCGGGGGAAGCCCTTGGCTAATCTCCTGCCACTCAGCCCGGTCGACGTCGGCGCCGGGTCCGTACCGCGGCGCGCGGAAGGACAAATAGTCCCCGCGGCGGCACCGCGCGCCCCTCCACGGCTCGCCTCGCCCCGCCCGGGGCTGCCGGGGCCCGGAGGCCCGGGCAGGCAGGGGGAGGGGCGGCCTCTGCGGCTGCTCGATCCCCGCTCCCCTCTTCGCGGCCTGATGAGTGGATTGAGCTCCCTTGGGAAAAGTAATTGGATTCCCGGCTCCCTCCAGCCGGGATGGGCGGAAATCGGAGGCTGAGCCTGCAGGTTGCGGGGGGTGGGTGGGGAGAAAAGAGGTCGGGGAGCAGCCGCATGGGAAGGAAACTTGGTGAAAGCACCACTCCGCCCTGACGTGTTGGCGTGCTTGTTTCTGTACAGGCCCCGGTAGAAAGCGGGGTGGTAAGGAAGGATCAACGGAGATTATCCCTGGTGCCCCAACCACTTGGCACGTGACTTTTGCCCCTCCAAGTTGTCATCATTCTGAAATTCACCTGGCTGCTGATCTTCGGGAAGAGAGAGAATTTGGAACGTTTGAGTCTTTCAGCCACCACCACCTCGTTTTTCTCTCAGAGCTCTACTTGGAGCTAAGATGGAGAAAGAGCCCTGCCAAATCTGGGATCGGAGATAACTCTTGTTAACGGGGGTACCTCGGGAGAAAATAACATTCTCACCAGAATCATCCAGGAAAGTATCTCAGGTCCTCGCTCTAGCAGTAGCGAACTTCCCTAAATTGTTTTTCCTTTGGGGAGATGGAGCAGAAGTGGGAGCCTTAGGCAGAGTTTATGGCCGAAATGATAGGAATGTGCTAGGAATTTAAGTGACTAACTCATCCCTCTTGTGATTGTTTTTTTTTTTCGCCTTATTTACTGTACTTCACTCATTCATTCATCTTCAAACAAGCTTTAATTGGGGGCTTTCTATGTGCCATTCTCTGTTGTACTTCCCAGAGATACATCAGTGAATAAAAGAAGTCCCTGCACTCATGGAATCTCATTATAGTTCAGACAATACATGCACAAACAGATATACAATATAATGTCATGTAGTGATGAATGCCATGAGGACAAAACAGAGTAAAAGGACAAAGATACAGGTGAGAGTAGTGTGGTTTTTTTACTACTTTAGGTAAATTGATCTAGAAAGTCCTCTTTGATGGAAGCTATGTTCAAAACAGCGGTCTGAATGAAATGAGGGAGAAAGCCAAGCAAATGTCTAGGGGAAGGAACTTTCCAGGCAGAGAAAAGAACAAGTACAAAGGCTCTCAGGCAAGAGTGTTTGGGGAGCTTGAATTAGTGGGAAGAAAGGAGGCTAACATGAATGCTATGCAATGAGCAGGAAAACAGAGATGGTCTTCTGACTTCCTTCTTCCTCTGCTCAGATCTAACCTGTCAGAATAATCATTCTAAATCTTCACTTTTTGTATATCTCTTAATGCTTTGATAGTTTCATGGCTTTGTTTTCTATTCCATTAAATTTAAATTCTTTTGACTGATTGTCAAGGTCTTGCCCCAATCTAGTTCCCTCTTAACCTGTGAACCATGTTTCAGTCTACTTTAGTTCTAGTTAGGTCTGTCTCTCAAGTATACTCATGTTCACTTATTCTTATGTATATTTGTTTATGGATCTACCCTCACACAACTTAGTATTGATTCAGTAAGGATGTGTGGTTGCAAGTGACATAAAATCCAACTCAAACTGGCTTAAATAGAAAAGGGAATTTATTGGCTCACATAACTGAATAGTTCAAGATAGTTTTGTTAGACGTGGCTTGGCTGAAGAGTTCAAATTATGTCATCAAGATTTGGCTTCTCCCTGACACGTTAGCTCTTTCCTCTGCTGTTGGCTTCATTCTCAAGCCCCACAAATGAACAACCAGCAACTCTAAGCTCATACTATCCTCACTACCAGCAACGGTGAAGAACCTATTCCTAAACCAATCACTGTTGCCAGAGAAAGAGATGCTCAGATTGGCTTGCACTGATTGACAAGCCCATCTCAAAAGTTGAGTCTATCAGTAACACATGAATGGCACAAGAAGGTGATTTTAGGAAAATAGGAGTATGGTTAACAGAGGAAGGGTAGATATGTCCTGGGTAATGAATGAGAACAGCAGACATAGCACACACCCCTGTTCTTCTGCTGATTCTTCTCAAACATTCTTCCACTACATATGCCTTCAAAATGTTTATTCCTATTCAATGCAGTAATATTATTTACCACAAAAAATATGCTCACTTCCTCCCCAAAGAGAGATGATCCAAATTCTCATGTAGTTACTGAAGATAACTCCCAAGTCCAGGACAGCAGGGTAATAAGCATGTTTCTCTATTATACAACAATATAGTTCCTCAAGGTCTAGTAACCTAAGGCTACAAGATAAAATTAGCTACCAAAAAAAAAAATTAGCTACAAAATACTTAATACATAATGACAGAAAAAGAAAAGAAAAACTGTAACAAAAACTCATATTTGGAAAAATGACTAATGGCAAACACATAGTGGTCTTTAATTCATAGCATATATCATGCTGGACAGAAACACCAAGGGCTTCCTACCATGAGAGAGGAGAAAGTTCTTTGATCAAAACATCTGGCTGCCATATGTTCAACTATTGGAGAATCTCTCATCCATTGTTCCCCCATGCCATATCTTTAATGGACAGTGGGGAGTATAATCCTTCTAGGGACCACACCTCTTCAACATTCTCTTTCCTGATATAGTGGCAATTGAAAAAAAAAAAAAAACTTGCTATTACAGAGATAATTAGCTTTTACTACCGAATAGCTGTGATCCTCTTCTGTTATGTAGAATTGTTGCTAGGAAGTAGCTGCATAGGCAGGGACTACATTTTCTAGCTTCTCCTTTTAATCTTGACAAAGTCGTACAATTAATTATCTCCTTTGGAATATGAGTGGAAGTGACATGAATCCCTTCTTGCCAAAGTGGTTAAGAACTAGGTATGTCTTCTATGGTTTCTTTTTCTTCCTCTAGCTGCACTGAGAGGACTCTAAGACCCTAGAGAATAGTTCTAAGAGAACCATGAGATAGAAGGAGTCTGGGAAGCTGAATGACCTTGTAGAAGGCCACTTTCTAATCAGGAATACCGATATTGGACTTTGCAAAAGTGAAAAATAAACATCGGTAGTGTTAAGCCAATCAGACTTCTGCACTATGTGTTACAACACTTAGTGCTAACGCTAATAACTAGCCTTTATTCTCCAGACTTAGGATTTTTCTCACCATACAATTTACTTTACTTTTTTTTTTTTTTTTAAGTAGGCTCTACGCCCAATGTGGGTCTTGAACTCATGACCCTGAGACCAAGAGTCCCATGCTCTGCAGAGGGACCCGCCAGGTGCCACAATTTCGTTACTTCTTACTAAGCTTCCAGTCTATTTGCATTTGGCCAATTTCATGGGGAAGAAAACCTCCAAAGCTAGATGTTATGTTAAGCTGCAGTCTTTGCATCTAGATTCCAATATGGGTATTTTTATCTTTCCATAATACGCCTTGTTATACTCCTCACTTAGTGGCCTCCATTTTGGTTTCTGCCTGAGAATGATTTGAAACAATAGCTACTGAAAAAATAAAATAAAATAAAAAAGAAATAATAGCTACTAGTTTTGCAAGGGGGGACATGGGCATACTGGTGCTGGAGGGAGTAGAATGGGATAATTATTACCTTTCTAAGCAGGCAGGAATTGCTAGAGAGAAGCCTGGGTGTGTTCAGACCTCTCCCAAGTGCCAGTCTTTTCCCTTTCTTGCCTTCATTGGCATTAAAATTCTCCTGGGGCTTTTCCAACTCTAATGGCTCCAGATTATTGAAATTTCTGTCATATTTGATTGAGCCTTTAGCAAAAGTGGTCACTTATAACAAAGCAGTATTTTTCCCGCTCAGGCTTAGATAAATCAACTTCAATCCTAAACTTGAGTCTTTCTTATAGGACCTAACTGAAAGCCAACAGGCCAACATGTAATAGTTGGTGTACTCTAGTATCTGACCTTTTAGTGACATTTTTTACATTTCATACTTGATAGGCACATGTTTTGAATTCTAATATACAACAGGTGCCACTTTAATGTACTACTTTGCTATTGAATTCCCAACCCAATATAGATGAGGCCTCATCTGAATCAACTGATTCAATATTTTAAGATCTTTCACTTACTAATCCCCAGTTCTGATACCAATTTGTGAATTGTTAGAGCTATTTTAGTTGCAGGTGACAAAATAAAAAACACAAAAAAGACTTATACAAAAAAGAATATATTGGCTATCGGCTCACATAGCTAAGGAACTAGTGATATATTTAGCTTAAGGCATAGCTTGATCCAAGGGCTTAAGCAATGTCATTAGAATTCTATTTCATTTCATCTCTTGGCTCTGTCTTCTGTGTTGGCTTCATTTTCAGGCTCCATATGGTGGCTCCTGGCAGCTCCAGTTCACATAATCCTTACTGTTAGGAATCTCAGTGGAAGAGTACATGCTTTTTTCCCAGAAGTGCTAGCAATAATCTCCTTATATTTTATTGGCTTTGATTAGGACATGTGACCAGAAGAATGATTACTCATGTTGTTAAGAGTGGAGTCCAGTGTCCTTAAAAGATGTTGACTGAGAGTAATAGAGGAAAACAGGGTATGGTTATCAAAAGAGTGAATGCTGAGTGGCAAAAAACCTAATGTCTCTCATTAGATACCAATGTGTAGCGATTCCTAATTGCTTCACATGTGTTGGTTTTATCTCCTTCACTGGACTGTAAGTGTCTCTGGAGCAGGATCATGTATTATATGTCTTAACAGTGCCAGCCCAGCAGGCAGTCCTTAGATACTGGCTGATTGATTGCCTCTTTGTGGCACACCAAAGAGGGTAAAAAGAGCTTAATAAAAGGATGATTAACAGAGATGTGGGAAGGGTTAAGGGAACCCACTAGCAATGGTAAAACACTTAACTGGTAACAGTGAGAAGACTTAAGCCTGAAGGAGCAGGGGAAAGGAACTTTTAAGCACTATAGTTTAGAAGGGGATGTCTGACAAACACTGTGACTATAAATAGAGAAATGCAGCCACTGCCAATGTGGCCCAGGAGGGGACTGAGAAATAAACACTTGTCCTCTTTTCCCCCAATCTCCAAACTTCTGTTGGTACCTCCCATTGGCCAAACTCAACCAGAAGCTATAGGGCTTGGATGACAGATAAAGTCTGTAGAGGTCAGCCTTCAGTATAGAGCAAGGCAAATAGGATGAAAAATGAGTCTGGAGGAGCAAATGGAAAATAACCAGGACATCCTTGTTATATTCCTTAGAGCAACCCTCAATAAAAACCACTCCTGTTTTGTAAGTGTTAACCATATAGCCTGATTTCCCAAGAAAATATAATTTTATCTTTTCCAATACATTTGTTAAATATATAACTAATGTGGCTTAATTTTTATAGCATTTTAAGACTTTAACATTCATGAATTCATAAAGCATGAAAAATCTTTTGTTAGCTTATGTAGTTAAAATGCTCTCATCATTGTATTGGTATGGAACTCCTCAAGAATATTGTACCTGGTAATCCATCAGAAAGCCCTGGCATAGAACTTGTCAAATAGTGACAAATTTGATAAATGTTTGATGATTTGAAGAATGATTAAATG